CTTCGGCGACGAAGATAAAGGAGATAGAAAAGGAGGAGAATAATGAAAGTGACAACAATTGGAATACAGAAAACAAAGAACTGATAGATCTTCATTTCAGATGCAGGCTTTGAAGCTGGACCTGGCCCAGAAGCAACTGAATAGCCTTTTGATGGATCCAAATGGTCGTAAGCCATGTTCACAAAAAAGAAAGGCCCAATGTGCTAGATCTCACAAACCCAGAAATAATTTACAGATTTGGAAAAAACCCAGAAGCCAGAACAGACAATTTCAGCTATATTATCGATAATCAGCAATACCCAGATCCAGAAAAACAAAAAGAAACCCTAAAAAAATGTGCTCAACAGCGAAATCAAGAGATCAAAGCAAGAACAATGGAGCCATTAGCAAATCTGGATAGAATTTAAGGATTTCAACGAGGGAAACTACAAATTAGATGAACCCAAATAAGAACAATATCAGTAGAAGAAGTAGAACAGAGAGTGAGGAAAATAAAGAAACGAGAAATGAGTATGCGGCGAAGGGGCAGTGTTGGGTTTGAGCGGCCGCAAAGATGTAAAGGGCGAAATGGTGAAGGAAGTTAGGTGGAAAGAGCAAAAGGATTTGGAATGCAAAAAGGAGAAGGCTAAGAAAGGCTTATAAGTAAAGGATTTTGTATAATATTATAATGAAAATGAAGGGGTTGAAGATAAACATCATTTCTTTCTCCTTTTAATACTAAACCAAATAATATCCGACATGGTTGAATATCTTTTTGGGAGTCTTGCTAAATGGAACATGGAAATGGTTTTAAATATTTTCAATGGAAGAATTTGTCATTTTCTTTGAGCAAATGACAACAAAAATGGAATATCTAATCGCAATAAGAACATGCTTCGTTGGCCTTTCTTCAATGAACAACACATTCATAGCTAACAGTCCATTTATATTCATTTCCTTAGCGGCATGGTTTGTGCTTAATTAGCCCTTCAGTTTGGCCTTTGAAAGAGAGTGAGATCTTTGGGTATATGCTTTTAATCGTTTATAAGTGCCGCATGCCTTGTGCTGAAAGATAATAATATGTATTTTTGGACATTTTAATAGATTAAAAAAACCTTTTTCTCCTGATATATGACACACAACAATGCCGGATATTATTGTCGTCTCGGTTCTCAACAACACAACTCATGCATCGTGATGTTGTCCCATGTCTCGGGACACATCGACCATCTTGAATTGCTCGAACACATCTGTTGGGAACTGGCCCGTATGTTAATCATCTCATTGGGACTTCCCGAACATTCATCCATCCGGGTTCTCTCAAGCATCAGACTCACACGTGTCCATGCTAAACTGTTTACAACATATGTTTCAAATAATAGGTGCATAATTCAACCTCCGACACGTGGGTTGGGGAGCAATATTGGCATGCATGTGTCGTTCAATACTGTCCTTGAAAAACTCATTTCAAAGGAAGTCGTCCCAGACACTCGTCTCAAAATGTTTGTCCTCATTGTGACACACGCATGTGCTACAAGGTAGCTTGCTTGGGCCATCATACATCATGAATTTAGAGTATAAATTCATACTTTAAAAGTACATCTACCCTATGCTTGTGTCATAGTCTCGAATTGCGATGTCGTCGTCAACCGCACAGGGATGCCTTGCATTGACTTGAAATAGAAGTAGCACGTGGCTTGAGTATTTTAAGAAATACTCAGTAAGTGACCCTCTATCGGGGTTAAATGCAAGCACATGCAAATCATGAGTGGGATCTATCATATCGGTCTATTTTCCTACAACGGCTATCCTAAACAGGTAATTGAATTTGTACTTAATTTTCCTACACACGGTTCACACGTGCGAATATGAACCCACCAGCCAGTTCGCACACCTCCTGGGCCTCTTTCTGGTTGGGTGAGCATTCTCTAGTAGCTGTTGATGTCGGACATTCATTAAGAATAGCGATCATCTTGGCATCATTATGGTAAACATAATGATCATTTTCCTACATCGTACCGTACCTGTCCATACTATCGTGAAAGGAGAAGGGGTATCCCCCAATGCATAAACACACAATAATGCATGAGGTCCCAACATTTTTCCATTTTCATTATCATATACTACAACCCCGCTAGCATATTGCTCCATATCATATCATTTTTATCATATCTTTCATGTGTGTATCGGGGTTGTATTTCATGTCAATTCGTCATTTTGCATGTCAATCATATCATATATCATTCATGTTGCACATATCTCATATCATAACATTTTCATGTCCTTGCAGATAGCAGTTCACATCATGCACATATCATACCATATCATATACCGTAATAGTCACATAACATAACCCGAGCATGCCTTCAACATATCATATCATAACATATCAATTTATCGCATACATCATAAAATTCACGTAACATATCATATACATATCATTTCATAACAGTTTACATATACGTCATATGACACGTGCGAAGCCACAAACACGTATCATCATTCAGTATGCAATTATAATCAAACGACGGTAGGATCACTTACTTGATTGGCCTTGGCCAATGCTACTATGACCCCTTGACATTAGCTTAATACTGATCTCTAAATTTTAATTCCACGAAGCAGTCCAACAATCATAAATTAAACTTATACTACGGAAATTGGCTCATCTAGTTTTGCATAAAATAATTAAAAAAAGTAAAAAAGGTTATTAAATAATTTGAAAAGTTGAAGGGCGTTGGAAACTAAAGGGTCAAATTAGAAGGTAGAAAAATAAAGAAAGAAGAAGATAGTATGCGGCGAAGGGGCAGAGTTCTAAAGGGCCAAATATGGAAGGAACATGAACAACATTAAGGCATTGAAGATAAACATTGTTTATTTATTTATTTATTTATTTTCCTTCTTTGATTATTATTAAATCAATATTATGTGATATTGTTGACTATGTTTTTCAGGGTCTTCCTAAATGAAATGTGGAAATGGTTTTAATATTTAGAATGGACCAATTCTTTAGCCATTAATTAAATATCTAATCTAAACATCAACTTAGCTGCCTTCTCTCTCCTCCTTTAAATCTTATTATATTTTCTAATCTTAACTAATAATCCATCCAATGAGTTTACAAATCTTATATAGCTTAGTCGGCTCGTTAAATTTAGTCCCACGACACGTATATGGATTGTGTTAGGTTGGAGAAATCTTTTAGGCTAATTCGAAATTTTGGGTTAGTTGAATTGGTGACTCGAACAACGCGAATAGATTTCACAACTCAACCTAAACCAATCTTTTCGAGTTAGATTGGGTTCTAAGATCTCATAAAACTTAGATATAAACATTTATAAGTCACAATGCATCACTAATATCGGTTATAAACGTCAAATATTATTATTTTTTAAAATAATCTTAAAAGTCGAGTAAGGATGAGTTGTAACCCTATTTTCAGGTTAGTCGGGTTGACCTAATAAACAAATGTCATATTTGAATGACCCAAATTTTTGTTTTCCTAAAATTCAACTCAATCGAACTTTTATGGTTTAGGTTGAGTAGTCTGATCGAAACGGTGTTAAAATTTAATAAAATAGCTTGGATAGTTGAATAAGTTATTAAATACTCTCAAAAGGTTTAGTACGTGTTAAGATACAACCTCGATAATTTAAAATGAAACGTGTATTATTATGGAGGGTATTTTTTTAATAGGAAAAAAAGAGAGGGAAGCAACAAAACATTATACCTACTGGCAAATTATATTAATTTCCCAAGTTTTAAGCATGGTTTATGCATAAAGCCTTTGCAATTTGACATTTGAAAGGAATAGGGAAGAAGATAATGAGATCTTTGGGTATATGCTTTCAATACCCAAATCTTTTTTTTCTTTTCTTTTCTTTTCTATGTTGGGTTGAATATTGCAATGTGGCATGTCCATATATAGGAAGATAATGATTTATATATATGGAGGACCTTGTTATTAAAATAAAGATTAGAAGATAATTTTGACTTACAATCCCACCTAATTTTGTCCCGAAAACAACATGACCTTTCCAGCGTTTTCTAGGTGCTTTTGTCATTCTAAAATGAGTTAATTAAAATATAGAAACTCGAACATTATGCCCAATCCCTAGTTTTCACGGTTTGCCAAAGTTCTTCAATCAATTTCGAGGTTTTTGTTGTAAGTTGTCTTGAAGATGTATTGTCATAATTCTCATTTAGTTCGTAACCCTTCTGATTCATATTCTTATTTATTTTGGTCCATAACCCTTTTGATTCATATTCTCATTTGATAGATGAATCATCTTGATTCATGTATGATAATTAATATTGCTATGTCTGTATAAAGGCTTGTTTAGCATTGTTTTGAAGTGTGGAATCATTGTCATTTTGTATTTGTCTAGAAGCAACTGGGAGAGGAACTTTGTAGTATGAGGTGTGATACATCCACTTTGTAAACAATTTGGTTATAGTGATTGGCTACCACTAGTGGATGTAGGAGAATTTCTTCTCTCCGAACCACGTAAATCTTTGTGTCTCTATTTTAATTTCTATTTGTCGGTGTGTGAGTGCGATCGATCTTGATTTCGCTTTCTCTTTCTCTATAAAATGTAGTTCGGAGACGAACGAAAGCAGAACTGAATGGATATGCAACATCCAAATAAACGAGAGACAATGAGAATAATGGTAAGAATATAATGTTTGCTCATTCTATTGTATTGGAGTGAGATAAGTTATTTGGGAGTAATTTGTAAAGTGGGTTGTTTGAAGTGAAAGGCAGCCAACTTTAGAAAAACACCACACCACGTAACATCCTTAAACGCACAACCAGACAGAGGATGGTTGCTTGGAGACTTATGTCCATAGTTTTTGTCATGAGAAGGTAGCCTCGTAAATTGAGTTGTTGTTTAACTGTGGGCGGAGTATTGGTAGTTTACTTCATTCCATTCCACCTCTCCAATGCAATTCTATGGGCGCCAACATACGTAAATCTCGGTGTCTCTCTTCTAATTTCTTGAAAGTTGGAAATTTCAAAATTTTATTGAGAATTTTAAAGAGACTTTCAATAGGGTGTAAAAGAGGAAAATGGTCCTTTCGACTCCCTTTCCTAATGAAGGGTGTGTGAAGGGCAGAAATTAGATTTTAAGGAGGAAGAAAAAGAAAAGGAAGAGATATAATTAGGGTTTGAGAGAAAAATTTAAAACAGATAACCGTTTGAGAGCTCTTGGTCCTCCTGGTCCGACAAAACCTTCTCGAAAAACCTTTTGAACATCTAGTTTGGACACATGAATCATTCAAAACCATATTGAATCGAGGAAGAACGAGAGGTAAGTTTTGAATTTTTTTCGTCATCGATTTTTTTCTAGACATGAGAGATTTAAGAGGAATTGCGTCCTCAAATTTTGATATGTTGTTCTTGGAAGAATTTCATACAACTTCCGTGAAAAAAGTCAGAGTAGAATCAAACTAGAACGCAGAGTTTCGACGAACCTCAAGAAATGGTAATAAGTTAATTCTTACAATTTTGGACTCGTTTATTTTTCGATGAGGACGGAATGAGATTGATACGAAATAAGGTATCTTAATCATGTCATGGATGATTTTTATGGTATTTTTTAAACTTTAGATAACTGTATTTTAAATTATAGGATAAAATTAGTTAGTAGTGATAGTGATTATGATATTGATGGCCATGAAAGTTACAACCTCCCAATTAACCATAGATTATTATAAAGTTTATTTTTAAGGCTATAAACCACATTTTGGAATTGAAAAGAATAGTCTCTATTTTAACTTTGTTGAGAGCTAAATATTTACTTTGCAAATTCGTGTGTTTATAACTTGCATGTTAGAGTCATTCAAATGATATTGATCCAATCTCTTGTGAAGTAATTCGAATCACGAGTTTTCTTTACTCTTGATCTTGATTATCAAGGTAATCCGTTCCAAAACTTTCCCTTGAGTTGATTCTATATCAGAGATCAAGATTTTTTTTTTTTTTTTTAAATGGTTTAACTCTACAACTTTAAATAGAACAAACATATCTAGTCAATTTAGATGAGAATGCTATGTGTGCTAAGTAATACTTGTAGGGATCGCTAGGACCTACTAGTATGCGACTCTATCTTGCCTTAGGTGGTTAGAATATGCATGATTAGAACTCATAATGATCGATTTAGATGAGAATGTTATCTGTGTTATGAAAAATTACCGAAATGCCTTGAGGATGAGAATTAAGTTGCATGCCTATTTTTAATGTTTTCCATTATATTAGAAATGAGGATTGGATGTTGTGATATGTGCTTCGGGTGATTGATGGATGTAATCTCCCCTTTGAGTTTGCATGAGTGTTTATAGATTATGTTTTATGTACTTTAGGTGATCGATAGAAATATCTCCCTAACAAATCATGCTGAATGAACCAAATTAAGATTATAGTGTTACAGCAAGAACCATTTCCACGTTGACCTAAGTCACTACGTTTCCTATAAACTAAGCACCCTAGGATCATAAATAGGGATCAAAGGTTTAGACCTGAGTGCACTTAGGGAATTGGATTAGCCCGAATGAGCTAACCCCGAATGACTTGAAATGTGAGATAAGACCAAAATCACCTAAACACCGTAAAAACCTAGTAATCTTCCCTGAAACCAAGAATATTTTGGATAACTTACGAGACTGCTAACAATGTGAGCCGTATTAATTTTTAGAGTCACTATTGTAACAAATACAAAAAAAATGAAAATAAGTTTATTTATATAAAAAAAAAAAAAAGAAAAAAGTGATTTCTAGTCTCCCTAAAATATCTCAACAAATCCCTACTCAATAAGTCATATTTGAAGAGGTGGCCGGCCGCTCTAAGTTATATTTTAGATCTTCCTTTCCCGTTATGAATGATATTAATTTTATTGTAATTTATTCAGCTTTGACTTAGAAATTAAATATCAAGAATTTTCTACAAATTAAGTATAAAAAATTCATCCGCATGTTTACCCAATCCAATATAATCTAAGGTAATATTAGTAGGGCTTGATGTGAATTTGGACAAACACTTAGATAGTGCAGATGTAGATGAGAATTATAGAACTACAGTGTACTAACAAGATGATGCTTATCATATACCATGAAATCTTAGTAACCACGGTATTCGTGAACCATATTTATATTTCAAGAAACATTAAATTTAAATTGAAAGAGTAAAAATTTGTTAAATACTTAATAAAATTTAGAAAATTGTTTAAAGTCGGGATAATTTAGGCTAATTATAAATATGAACCTATCAATTTTTAAAATAATTAAAATTATATGTCCAAGTATTTCTTTATCCTCAATAATTGGACTAACAGGTGGTTGATCATGGCAATCATTTCGTTTTAATTGATATTATCACGATGATGGATCTGATGCTATATTGGACTTTCATGATAGATTCCGGTCGATATCAGAACAATTAGTAACTTCAACCTAAGTCACCTAGGTCAACTAAGTGAATGGATCCACTATTCTTTTGATTGGAAGAATTGCTTTATGTGTATGACACGTGCCCAATGGCCCTTGCACATATCATACGTGTGATATACTTTGATATGTGATGTTATGTATATTCTGCTATATGATATGCCAAATAATATTATAATATAATCGAAATGGCATGCTATATAATGATAAGTTATGTTATGTTATGGCATGCCATGAAATGTTATGTTATGCTATGACATGTCATGATATATTTTGAAATAAGGAAATCTATGATGCACAACTTCCCTATGTCATGTCAGGTATGAAATAATGTATAAGAATTATGTACGCACAATTACTGGATTTAATATGTTATGAATGAATGGAGGTTGAAATGCACAGTTTATTATGTCATGATGGAAAGTATGGGAACCTCGCATAACTGTGTATTCACGTGCATCACGATACTTCTCTGTTATGTTATATTAGTATGGATGCATACCTTTGATATTTATGTTCTCCTTGATGCCATGTAACACTTGAAAAAAAAATAATTCAAACAAAGTCAATGGACAAATATGTCATTTAGTCCCTCCAACCATTACGGGATCCTTGAAGCCCTAGCACAACAGGTGAAAAAAAAAAAGTGAGAGAAAAGTTGAGAGAAGGAGCCAAGTTCTAAAATATTGATATGTTCATCTAGGAGGAATTCCATAGGATTTGTGAAGAAACCTAGCCGAAATCCTGATCCAAAGGCGGAGTTCCTCGAAGTCGTTCCAAGAAAGGTAAGAAAAGGGAGTGAACCGATTTTGACACTCGTAACTCAATCTATATTTCATCATTAAGTACAAGAAAAACATTAGAACATATATGGAACTATGATCTATAATATTTGAGAAGGAAATATTTCAAACTAAAAATCTAAAGTTATGAAAATGAAAAAAACGACGAAAAACTGATCGGGTAATAGGGTTTCCTCTGTTAGGAGGAGAGAGAAAACATCATCATCCCACGTGTCAACCAGCGAGAGGCTCTGCACACACCAATGGATGGGGACACGCGTCAGGCGTTGGGTGGAACAACGCGATTCTAGCCAAATCACGACACACGGTCTCTACAGCCAATCCGACCTGCAACCCTATACCGACCCGGATTTGGCCCACAACCCATTGGCCTACGATCCAATCAAGCCGACCCAAACTACTACCCAAACTGGAACACGACCTGTGACTGCAGATTTTTGAATCACACGTGAAAGTCGCGAGTAAGTCTTCCCTCTGTGCGTGGAAGCACGTGTCGACGCGTGTAAGTGAGTTTACGATCTGTTCGGCTTCTGTTTACTCGATTATCATCCCGACTCCAATTCTAACCATATTTTTATGTAATTTACGACCTAACTGAAGAAAATCACACTTTTTGGACACTTTAATTGTGTAGAAACGTTAAACGAAAGGCACGCTTCAATCATGTAAATCACCACAACAAGATTTAGAAAGCAATATTTGTTGGATTTGCATGGTTGCATGCATGCAAATTTATTTACTTTATGTGGTTAGCTTTTCCATGAAATGAGTTTAGGTAATATGTATATCAAGTGTACGGATGCATAATGTGAAGTATTTTGGGAATTGTTTGACTGATGTTATTATCTTTTATACTTTCGATGTATATATATGTGTTTAATTCATGTTGAATAGAGGATGAAAATTTTTGAATTCGCGCTTCGGGTGCTTGATGGATGATATCATCCCGTTGAACATGTATATTTAATTTACCTGAAACTTTCCTCATTAAATTGAATTCCCTCAGTTGCAAAAATGCTTTGAATTTTGATTTGTCGTACTCTTCTCCATTGTCAAACCTTAGACATTTGATCTTCAAGCCCATCTTATTTTCAACTTCAACTTTCCACTTCTTGAAGGTGGCAAATACAATTACTTGTGTTTCAGGAAATAAATTCATACCTTCCTGCTGAAATCATATATGAAAGTGACGTAGAACCTTGATCTGCAAAGTGATGGACTTGAAGATAGTCCCCGAACATCTTTATGGACTATTTCCAATTGAACTCTTCAATTTTCTAGCATCCTTTGTGAAGCTAACACGTTTCTGTTTGCTCATAACACAGTTCTCATAATGACTCATATCAACAAATTTCAGACCTTCCAAAACTCTTTTCACACCCAACAACTTCATTCATTCGACACTCATATGTACAAGTCTATTATGTCATATACTTGAATTTGAAGTACTCTCAGCAACAACATTCATGTTCATACACCCTGTAGTGTATAAAGTTTCAGATTTTGTGTCACACCACCATAATACCCTTCACAATCTTCCACGAACTCTTCCTAAACTCTGTTGCATAACTTGTGCTATCCAACGAACCAATAGAGATCAGGTTCTTCTTGAGACCAAGAATATACCTGACATTCTTTAATGTGCACTAATTTTCTAGAGTTTTTATGCAGACATCCCCCTTTCCTTCAATCTTCAAGGCTTTGTTGTCTGCAAGCTACGCCTTCTTAAAATTTTTCAAACTTAAAATTCCAAAAGAGCTCTTTATTTAGAGATGAATGAATAGATGCACCTGAACCCAAAATCCAAGTTTTAACCGGACTGTCCACACTAAGAATTAGAGCATCATCAATGTCTTCTGTTGAATTTATTTCATCATCATCTTCTAATTTGTGATACTGCTTCTTCTTTGGTCTTGTACAATCTATTGGAAAATGACCTTTTTCTACACAATTCCAACACGTTATGTTTGGCCTGTTTGGATAGTTTTCACAGTTCTTTGATTTTGGTCGACCTTATTTAGCCCCTTCGATTTACTTCTTCCCCTTTTATCAATACTAAGAATACCACTAGATGAATCTCCAATTTCTCGTTTACAAATATTATCGTTGAGAACTACATCTCCAATTTCATCGAACTTCAGCTTCTCAGATCCTCGGTTGATCGTGGCAACAAAAATATCACATGTTAAATAAAGTTCTATTTTAAGTTAAAAGTCAATCCTAATTTTTAGTTACTATTTTTTAGTTAAACCCACACAATAAAAGTCAGTGAATGTCCAAGTAGAATGACTTTAACTAGGTTGCCACTTCTTTCCATTTTTAAGAATATAATTGTTATTTAAATATCTTAATTGAATAAGAAACAAAATCATCCTGTCTTTAGCGCAGTATTTTAGATTTCAAGAGAACATCGGCCTGGGAGTAGCCCGCCCTCACCAACCGGTGAGTGCAGGCTACTCAAGATCTGCGATGATCGATGACGCCTACTCACGCAAGTTCGGCGCACGACAAACCATCTTTATATCCTGGAGTTGGAGATAGAGTATCCGGTCAGCCTCTCGGCCAAGACCAAAGAAGTAGCTTGGAGGTGGCACCGCAAAGTGTACGGGCACCTAAGCTGTAACGACCAAAAAAAATAATAATAATTAAATAATTAAATAATTAAAATAATTATTTTCCATAAACTACTCTCCACTAACCCCTCCTTCCTCCCCTCAACCAACTCATCAGTCAAAATCCCAAATGGGATGTATCTGTGTTCCAAAAAAAATACCAACAACCAGAGCTGGAGATTTAATTATTGGAGAGAGATCTTGTTGTTATTACGGGTAAGTCATATTTCAGATCTCGTTTTCATTTATCCAAATCAGATTTCCTTAGATTTCCTTTTCCTTGTCTAATTATTCAGAATTAGATCCGGGTTCTCTTTCAAATCTCTTCTTCATTTATCCCAATCAGATTTACTTGGATTTCCTTTTCCTTGTCTAATTATTCAGAATTAGATCCCTGGTTATTTTGATTTTTGATTATGATGTTAAGTCATAGAAAATAACTAGAATAGTTGAGGCAAATTTTTGGTTATGATGTTAGGTCATAAAAAATAACTAGAATAGTTTAGGCAAATATTTGTCAATAGAATAAAAGAAAATAAGAAGAATCAGAACAAAAAAAAATTAACAGGTAAATGAGAGAGGAGAGAGGAGAGAATTAACCGATAAATAAGAAAGAAAAGAGAAAAGGAGAAAGGAAAGATTTGGAAAGAAAATTTATCTGTGATATTGTGAATTTTAGATTTTAACAAAATTAAAGGAAGAAAAAAAAAGAAATTAAATATGAGATAAAAGGAAAGATTTGGAAAAAATAATTAATTAGAATACACCAAAACATGAGAAGATTGTAGAGAGGCCAGAATATTGTTAAACAAAATTAAAAAAAAAAAGACAAAATATATATATATATATATATAGAGGAGGCCAAATACCGTAAACAAAATAAAGAAAGAGAGAAAAGTATAAATGCAGTAAACAGAGGAAGTAAAGGAGAAAATACATAGAAGAAAAAATATAGAAGAAGAGAATAGAGAAGATACAGAGAAGGCCAGAATACAAATCAAAAAGAAAAAAATATAAAAGGAAAGAGAAAAATATAAAAGGAAATAGTTGGGAGTAAGAATGAATTGACCAATAACATGATTAAGTAAGAATCCATTCAAAATTGGTCAAGAATATGTCTTGAACAAAACTTGAAAGAAAAAGCATAGTACAACAGAAAGAATATCAAAAGACAAAGAGAGGAGTACTCGAAATAAAAAAAAATAGAAAATGAAACCTTAATATAATAGAATATATATATAATATGTGTATATATATTTAGATGTATATTATAACGTTCCAAGACTTTATCTATGCAAAGTCTTTAATGCTCGTATGAGGTTTAGTACATGAATTTAGAGAATTGAACATGAAATTGATGCCATGGACTTTTATAGGTTGGCTCAGATACAAAGGGAAAAATCAAACTTTTATTAAAGGTAAATTGGTGACAACCATATAAGCTAACCAGGTAAGTGGTCTTACTATAGGATAGGCAAAAAATTGTATGAGTTACGATGATGTATGAACTATGTCGTACGATGCGGTATATGAGTTATGATGATGTATGACTTATGATGATGTATGACTTATGATGATGTGTGGGTTACGATACTTGATGATGTGCTCGGTATATATATATTTTGATGAATGTCGTACTTGATATGTTTGATGCACTTTATGGCAATATGATGAGTATGATGATTGCGTGACGTTTACCTTAATATGATGATGTTTTTCATATTGAGCATGCTATATTATGATAACTGCCATATTCCATCATGTCGTTAGATCGACATAGGACACAACCTTAAGAGCGTGAAAATGATATAATATAAATATCCACGAGTATGTGTTACCTAGAGTAACAAAGAGATGAGACTAGAGGGTTGTGTCAGAAGAGACATTATGATGGATTGAGAGGGACCTCATGCATATTGTATGTTCATAAGCATAAGGCTACTTCCCCTAGAGATGATGAGTGCGGACGCGCACCGTATGATGAGCGCGAATGCGCACAGGTGCGAAAGCACACAGATGAGGGTGTTCATGAGGTGCATGACACCATGGGGTTCAGTTGACCTCCAGACGTCGCTACAGATTAGCTTGACCAGAGGGTCCAGGGGGTGTTCGAGCGCCCTAGGG